CCAAATGCACTCAAATTCCTCAGCTCTGGGGATACGTAGATGTCCATCCAACTGGGTATCCTATCTGGGTATTCATCTCGATACCCAAGTTGTGGATATTATGACACCCCTCTATAGAAATTTATTATATTTGTAGTTTCTGCAATATACAAGTACCTATTGATGAAGCTCTTGAAGATCTTCGAGAGGTTGCAATAAAAAGTAATTTGATTTATTATAATGATAGAAATGGTTCATGTATTCGTTATAGATGGATACAATTGTTCAAAGCGTATTGCATATTTAAAAATAGTTGATCTTGATATATTAGTTAATTCGTATGTGAATTTATCATATTGTCTTTGAAGAAGTTTTTTCGTTGTTTAGAAATGCTGATGGTTCTCAAAATCGTGGTCGTAGTCAATCGGCAAAAAAGGTGAGAATTGTAATACTTTTTTTCTTGTGAAGAAAAAAGATTATTTTTTATTATAAAAATAAAAATAAAAATAAAGATTAAATAAAATCATAATGATATGTTAGGGTTCAATATGATTTAATTAAACAATTTAATATTTTTCTAAATGTATAAAAAGCTGAAGAAATTTGTGCAACGTTTAATGAATACTTTGCAGATAGTTTTAAACAATAGAATGTATTAGGTCGTGTTAATTTTCATAAATGAACCAATAATTTATTGAAAGGAAGCTTGATTTTAGTAAAGTTGTTTACCTAATGAAAAGCAAAACACTATTTTAGTACAGATTTAGCAACTTTTAATACATAATGTATGTTTATTATCGAGGAAACAAAAAGAGGTGAAATAGACATATCTATTGTTTTTTATTTTGATATGTTTATGCAAGTGTTAATTATTGTTGAATGCAAATATTTGATACGTTTGTTTTGTGCAAAGCTATAATTCTTAGGTGAAAACTTGTTTGAAGAAATTAATGAGTAGTCAATTAAAATAAAAAACAGGCTTTGTGCTATTATATTTGAATTCTGTTTATAAATGAATTAGAATTTGATTTAGTTTTTATAATAATTCAAAGAAATTGTATAGATATCATGTTGTCTAGTTTTGTTGTTATTTTAAAATATGCTTAAGTATTTTATTACTTATTATTGAATTAAAGATTAAGAATGTAATTTACTTTTAGAAGGGTGTGGGTGTGGGTGTCTTATATCTACCATAGTCCCACACCCACACCCTGCCAACTATATGTGAGAAAAATCTAGATTGGTTGCAATGAGTATTGATTGGCATATT